GTACGAATTTCTAAGAAAATGATCTCTTTCGAACGCGGCGGAAAAATTCGTATAAAATTCTTCGTATACAATCTCGAATCGAGACGTTCCCATAAAAATTCTCATTGAATCTGGTATCACTGGCAAGAGACGGATGGTGTTGATACAACAATGAATGGTAACGGAGAAGGGACAAGATGCTAGACTGCTGCCATTGCTGTTGTTGCCCGTTCGCGTTGGTGCTGAGGCCTTGTTCAAAGATCTTTTCTCTTTTTTTCTTTTTCTTTTTCCGTCCTTTATCTTAAATCGATTATCGAGGCTCTAAAACCTACATTGCGCCTACTGTTATCATTGCAAGCAACAGAAAAATAAGGAAACAGTACCCGCCAAGAGAGAAATGGCATTGCACCGCTTTGTAAAGATTTTTGGATTGGTTTAATGTATACTTACCATCTTGATGTCACTAATTGTCGCAATGCTTCGCACAAACAGGTTTACCCGGACAATGGCCGGCCCATCTAAGGGCAAAAACAATAGAGCCCCCTTTTAGTCAGTAAATTTTTTTCGTGTCTTACAATACTCTACTGGAATAGTTTGTTTTTTAATTTATTTTAGTTATGTATATATATAGATATTGTTGTTTCTTTCAAGTTATTCTCGTTTATAGATATCTATTCTTTTTCTTCAGTGTTCTTTACTGTTTCTTTTTTCGTGGTTGCCTACGAGTCGACGAGTGGCCGTGTATTTTCTCTTTTCACGAGGATTATTCGGGTAACGGGGATAAAATTGAGGGAAATCGTGAGAATATTAAATTCTTTTCGAATTTCTTCTTCGCGTGGTCTTCGAGTTATTTCTTCTACACGATCGTTCGAACATCGAACGGATCAAGGATTTATTTAGTTCTGGGATAGACAGTCGTTCGATACGTGCTAAATTCTCAGGGCAAGTGGTACTTTGAGGGTAACGACACACACACACGTAGTGGACATATAACTTATCACGAGCTAGTCTTCTCTGGTATTTATTAAGAAAGTAGGTGTGCTCTTGTAAGAATTTGAGAAAAGTACACGGTGTGAAAGGTCTCTAACATTAGGGACAAGATGTCTAAAAGCAACGTTTGAAGGCTATGGGCAAAGTGCTGTGACGGGTTATTCGAATCGAGGTACGTCACACAAAAGCCAAAAGAGATTTGGTAATTAGGTTGTCACATTTAGAATAGAAGATTTTCCAACTATGCAGGGTGTTCCATGAAACTTTAACGAGGTAGCTTCGAATAGAAAGTGTCGATGCAATGGCTGCTGAAAGTTTCCAATCGTTTTATACAAATAAAAATATCTGCTTAATATTGCATTACTATACTAAACTGTTTGTAAAAAGAATTTTGTTAATATATAAATTAAATACAGATAAAGACACAGATTTTCGAAAAGCTCTCAAAAACCATTGAGTGGAGAAAAATTCTCGACCCAAGTTAGTTGTTTATACGTTATATTTCAAATATTTAAAAGATCTATGAAACACCCTGTAGGTACGTGTAACTACTACAAAGTACAAGTGTGTAATCATCTCTCCCTAGTTTCTATAATTGCATTAACATACACATATACGAGACGAACCCAATAAAACATTTTATTTAATTAACGTATCGCATTAATTCCGATAATTCCTCGTATTTATGTCCCAAAATAGCATCGCCATCTTACCTGCACACGTAATTCGTCAAACCCAATAAATTCATCTGTCTTTCCTTCTCGTTTCGCTTCTTTGGATACAGCACGAGAAGCAATCGCGTAAAAATGATTAACAAACAAACGTTTTGTCACAAAGACACAGCCAAAACGAATCTCCCCCTGTTTCTAATTAGAAACTCGCCCGTGGTGGTGAATTGGTGCGGGCCAAAAAGAAATAGAGCTGCTATGTAAATACGCTGTCCGATGGTAAAGAGAAAGAAAGGGCAATGGTACATCTAAAAATGGTAAAAAACCTCGTGACAACATGAGCCTCGAGGCGGCAACGAAGTCGACAGTAATTATCGACGATATACTGTACCTCCCCTGACCTATCGAACAATGGGAATTCGCGGTCCAATTTTCCTAGACGTTCAATGCCATTGTCTAATATTCTGCACTGCACGGATCACGCTTTTGACACATAATTAGGACCAATCGAGCTTGGTACGGAAGTCCAGCTCGATCCGGTTGTCGGAAAATTCCGAGGGGGGGAGATCGCGAAGAGGAAGACGCCGAAGAACAGTCGAAGAATAAAATGGCGAACCTGAATATCGACACTCGCGTAATTCGTAGCTCATCGACGAGCACTCGGCTCGATTCGACCAATTCGTGAAACCGATAGACTCGCAATGTCCCGATCGTACGGACGAGAAACGAAAATATAGGAATAAACGTCGAATAAGTCGATCGAAGATTTAACCACGATTCGACGTTGCACACGATGCACTGAATTATTGAACCGACAATAAGGAGGACTGGAAAGAGGAATTTCATTAGCAATGAAGTACTCGACAGAGGTAGTACACGGTTCTACGAGCACGTTGGCAGAAACATTAGAGAAGGAGAAAGAATAATAATAAAGACAAGACAGGAGAGTCTTCTACGGATACTATGTATGCATGTCGCATCTGCGAATAGAAGTACGTCTTGTCTACGTTTCCATCCACTTCCTTGCATCGCAAAGTGAAAAAGAGAGAAAAAAAGGAAACCTTCGCTTCCAACCGAAGTGGCACCATCCCTTCTTTTCTCAGCACGGTAGCATCATACCCCACCCCCATCACCCCTTTCCTTGCCCATCCCTGTCATCATCTTCATCTTTAATATCTCCAGCGGGAAATTTCGTGAATTATCACCTTGCGGTACGCTACCTTGCCGTTTAGGCTCGACTTGGAAAAATAAATCAGCGTGTCGATAACTTGCAACTGATCTCTCATCTTGTTCTGCCAGATAAGCAAAAGCTGAGTGAGTTACATGTGTCATGCTGCGACTGCCATCTTACACAGACTCAAACGGAAGAAGCAAAATTGATTCGAGTGTTCTACATCCTACTCTTTCTTTCATTTCATTTTTTAACGTTACTGCTAACTTAATGCTTGCAGATTTTCTAAAAGTTACGAAAGCACTCGACGAATATCATTTTACTGTCACTGGAAACTTCAGTTACTCTGAAATTTTTAGGCCAAATGCAAATAGGTTTTACAGGGATATACCAAGGCAATGATAAATTAATACGATATACAGGGTGTTTCGATATCAGAAATCAACAGAATATGCAATTGCATAGGTGAATAGACGTAGATTCTTTGGTCTAATAAACCTACGCGTTTACATCTATTTCCACGTCATTCGAAAGTAATAAAAATTCAGATTCTCTTGTTACAGGATTTCTTAAAAGCTCGATCGAGAAACTGCAGCCAGTAATAACTGACTCTGAAGCTTTATCGCTTCAAGAATGATCGAGAAACAGACGTAAATTCATCAGACCAAAGATCTTCCTTCTATCATCTTCTATCCTGCTATACTCTCTTGATATCCACCTCTGAAACACACTGAATTGCCAAGCAGACTATCAGTACCTCGGTATACGCCTAACGTAGTTAATGGCAAGATCAAGAAAATATCAGAGGTCTAACATCATACCAGTCCAAAAGCTCTGATTCGATCGTACATCGTCGTAAGTCAAATTTGAAGTACGTCAGGAATAGAAAGGAGTACTTATGCCAATTCTCGTGCAAAAATCTCATTCCTTCGTGTATCACGATGTACTCAAAACTGAACAGAATAATCTCAAGTATGCGCTTACGTTTCTATGAAAGCCAGTATCCGTAAGTGTATGCGTGTATCAAGATCAAAACGAGATAGCGGTTTCGTGATCTAGGTGACGTTTCGCTGTCACGGAATGGCAGCATACCGTGCCAGCTCGTCGTTGACCATTGCTATCGCTATCGTTCCAACAAAAGTGGTGTCGTGGTCGCATTTTGTCTTTCGATCCGCTGCGAACTCGGCAGGCTTGCAATTTGTCGGCACACTGCCAACGGGATGTTACCTCGAATGTACCTCGTTCCTCTTTGCCACGCTTTTTAAAATATTTCACGTGCTTGGTCGGGTATAAAGCCTATAGCGAACCACGTGTATACGTGTCCTCGCTGCGGGTACGTTCTGTCTCGAATTTTCCTCCCACGTATATTTATCATTACCATCTCTTCCGTTCTTTTTCCCGGATTTCTCTTACGTAGCAACGACAATACCTAGTCAGGTAAGAATTGCGCAAATCGACGGTGGGATAGTTAAACAACAGTGGCACGAAACTCAGCGAAATCCAGTTCTGTCGGGACGTATGGATCGTCGATTAGAGTTACCGACACGTGCCTCACAGTGCGGCTAAAGTCTTGGTTAATTTGGTTAATAGGACTAAATTAATGTTAACTCTAAGGAAAGAAACGAAGATCGGATCGTGTGACTCTAGCGTAATCGATTTGGAAGATAGAGTATGCTAGGTACCGAGTGCATGGTAAACAACGTTACAAGAGATCGCAAGATTTTATTCGTTACTCGAAACTGGAACTGGAATGTTCTCTTTTCCTGTTAAACGTAAACGGAACAGAAGCAGCAAGATCTGCTAGTCGCGTTGGAATATCGCAAATATGTTTCAAACACTTGTTCTAACTTTTCAAATCTTTAGCATGTTGCGCTACGAGAACACGGGCTATTTATCGCCGACTGGAATGCGCATTAATTAATCCTTCCTTGCGTGAAAGAATCAACTAGGTATCCACTTGCAGGACTCTGAATCAGATTAGAGCATCATGGAATTTCAGTCGCAGTTCTCGTCAGCAGCACAAGCTGACAAACGAATTACCCATTATCCGAGGCTTATTTAAGGTAAGCTTGGGCTTCATTGTCTCCTTAACCGTATCCGACTTCTTATGACAATGTTGGTATAATTGGTCGATTTTGGTAAGGAAGGCTGGAAGGAATAATGGATATAAAAAGGAATATCCATATATTTACCTGTTACATTTTCTCCGTTGGGCCGGATACGCGCGTCGTACCGTCCTGGTCCTAGAATCTTGTCTAATACCTCCTTCTCCTTTGCCCGGTAATTTACCGGTACTTCCGCCGCACATCTGCAATTAAACGTGCAAGTACGTGAAATTTTGATAAATTTCCGCGAGAACCTCGTAAGAGGTGTTTTTACTCAAATTTGTGTCTACAGTCGCTCCCGAAGATACCGGAATGCTTCGAGACCTAAACTCGTTAGATTTGGACTTGGGAAACGACACTGCTCGCTAAGATAAGGTAAAGTATGCGATGAAACAACAGCAAACCTTATAACTTTTCTCCATGATAATATATAGCTTACGATAAATTCTTCCGATAAGAGATCTCAGCTCGTTACCAGATCTCCGTTCCAGATCTCACGAATTGCTTTCGTTACTAGATAATTAACTTAACAGAATATTTCACAATGTCACTCACGCACTCTGAACACCTCGCTTTAGGTGCAGTATTATTTTCCAAGTCTCCGGTCCTATTTTATTTTATCTTATTTGCTCGACGATCTGAATACAAATTCGATACAAAATCGTATTTACGAACCACTGTGTATATACTGCGCACGAGCGATACAGTTTCGTTTTTCAAATTACTGTTTTATAAATTGAACACGTGAAACGCGAAAAATATTACGAGTACAAAACGGAAAAAATGGTTGAGTCGCTTTGAATCTCAACTTGCTACCGATTGGTCGCTACTAAAAGTTGACTGCCTCGAATATTTGAAACGGCTTTAATCTTTCGTGAACCGTCAGGGTTGCTCAACAGCGGAAGAACTCGTTATAAATTATCGTCGTACGGCACTGATGGCCCACGAGTGCCTTATCTCCCCTAAATGTCTCGTATCACTGTTTCAGAGATCGAAACACTTGTACCGAACAAGTATGCACGAGTTGTACGTACTTTATACGAGTGGCTCATTTGCCAAATCGATTAACTCCGCGGGGAAAAAGGAAGAAGGTAGAAATTATTTGAAATATCAAACGTTAAACATCGGTCAACTGTTACGGCCATAGAATTTTAAAAATGTCAGGGAATGCAGTTATCGCTTTGACCTGTGATGCTCGTATCGCTCGCGTGCATTATACTCGATGATTAATTATTAGGTAGTTGAACGCGAATAATTTGCACGTTACTCGCCGATATGAACTACGATCTCGATTAACTTGCAAATGGTCGCGAGTGATCAGTGCAAAGATTCCAATCTATTTAACCGGCATGAATTATCAATTCTCATGGCTATCTGTTGCAATGCAGAGGATCGTGAACGTACCTTGATGGAAGTGGCAAGACTGTTAGTAACACCAACAACTTCAATACTCCAGGCCACATTGCGGCAGCCTGTAATACAGAAACGAAACGACTGTTTAATTGCAGAAAATGATTTCAAGCTATTTTAAATTGTCCAATTATAGGATTTTATAGAAAAATTCGGGCAACGCAGGGACCATAACAGCGTTTATCACGGTGTTTTATTGCTTGGTATGTCATATAAGATCAATTACGCGAGTTATATTCCTTAAATATTGTACTCATACGACGACAGACAATCGTTGAACGACGTGGGTTACAACTAACGAGGACATTATTGCATTCTGATTAATTATAGCGATCGGGTCACAGGTGTATTAATTTCGGTGATGAGATAGCGATATCCGAGATCGAAAAGGATTTGCAAAAATTGTAATTAATATTTGCTTGACTGCAGTGTGCACGGTTAAAAAACTAAAAATTAAAATTAGAGTCCCACCAAGCGAAATTCCGGTCTGATCCATTAATATCTAGCATGATAAATTACACGTGTCACGTGCCAAGGTGTAAATAGCATCATCTCACCTGCACGCGTAATTTGACAGACCCGACAGTCCACCAATTCTTCATTCTCGTTTGGCTTCTTTAGGTGAAGCGTGTGAAGCAAGCGTTTTGCGTCAAAGATACAGGCAAAACGAATCTCCCCCTTTTTCTAATTAGAAACTCGCCCGTGGGGGTGAATTGGGGTGGGCCAAAAAGAAATAGAGCTATGTAAATACGCTGTCCGATGGTAAAGAGAAAGAAAGGGCAATGGTACATCTAAAAATGGTAAAAAACCTCGTGACAACATGAGCCTCGAGGCGGCACGAAGTCGACAGTAATTATCGACGATATACTGTACCTTCCCTGACCTATCGAACAATGGGAATTCGCGGTCCAATTTTCCTAGGCGTTCAATGCCATTGTCTAATATTCTACACTGCTCGGATCACGCTTCTGACACATAATTAGGACCAATCGAGCTTGATGCGAAAGTCCAGCTCGATCCGTTGTCGGAAAATTCCGAGGGGAGAAGATCACGAAGAGGTAGACGCCGAAGAACAGCCGCAAGATAAAATGGCGAACCTGAATATCGACACTCGCGTAATTCGTAGCTCATTCGACCAATTCGAGAAACCGATAGACTCGCAATATCTCGATCGTACGGACGAGAAACGAAAATATCGGAATAAACGTCGAATAAGTTGATCGAAGATTGAACCGCGATTCGACGTTGTACGCGGTGCACTGAATTATTGAACCGACAATAAGGAGGACTAGGAAGAGGAATTTCATTAGCAATGAAGTACTCGACGGAGATAGTACACGGTTCTACGACCACGTTTGCAGAAACATTAGGGAAAATGTCGCATGTGTGACTAGAAGTATATTTTGTCTACGTTTCCATCCACTTCTTTGCATCGCAAAGTGAAAAAGGAGGGGCAAAAGGGAAACCTTCGCTTCCAACCGAAGTGGTACCATCCCTTTTTCTCTCAGCAATGTAGCATCGTACACCATTCCTATCACCTTCGTTTTTAATATCTCCAGCGAGAAATTTCGTGGATTATCGAGTTGCAGTACGCTGCCTTGCCGTTAAGATTTCTTTGCAAAAATAAATCTGTGTGAATGCAGTGGCGTAGTCGAAGCTCGTATTTCACGTTTAGCATTTGTCTCTCGTCGCTTCCTCATCTTGAATATTTGATGCCAATTAACGATATATGTTCTTTAGAAGAATGTCCAATAAAATTCTAACATCACTTTCTTCGGAAAACCTACGTACATCGACTATTAAGCTTTGTTTATATTTGTTCTATTTATATTCGTTTACAAATATCCATAATTTAGCGAAATATCTTCGCGAATAAATAAGTAACTTTTATTGTACGTCATAGGGAGAAAAATTGAAGGAACTTGTTGAAAATAATCGAGGATGAATTTGCGCGTTTGAAAGAACGCCAAATTATGAATATGTAAACAGGGAAAACGATTGCCAGGTGGAAATCACTATAACGCGTTGTTTAAAAGCTTAAAAGTCAGTCGAAAGTGTTGGAAATGTTAAAAAATTGCGATGCTTAATTACCAGAAGGACGTTTATTTAATATTCCACGTTGAAAGTTTCATTTGCGCTTGTTAAAAATCTAAAGCGAGAATCATCAGCGAATATTTTATCTCATGCATTATTAATTCTTTCAAAGTATTTGCCAAATCGCAAAATATTATTCAATTAGTTATTTAGTCTAATTCTTGCCGTCTGGACGAAAATAGATTGATCGATAAAAAAAGATAAATTTAGAAAAGTTTCGACGAAACTTATCGATCAAACTTTGATAGTTTCCAGAAATTGCCTAGTTTAACTGCCACGATTGGCCCCGATTTTCTAACTAAATTTTCTTTCCTCGCTGCAGAGATTCACTTGCATCGAATTCCGCTTTTCGACACGAGTAATTAGTTTCTAAACACATTTTTAAATTACGAAAAATTATCCTGTCGATACTCTGAAAGAATTAACCACGCAAAGCAGGTATTTTTAATTGAGTTTAAAATGCGAAAAAAAGGTAAATATTTCAAGGTACACAGTTGAAAAATTGAAAATTAGTTAAAAAATTGTCACTACCGAGGGCAGAATTAATTTTAGAAAAGAGGGGAATAAAAGGGCAACGATATTTGCATAATTTCACGCTGTCCAGTAACACGCACACCTATTCTACACGGCGAACGCCTGACCGCTCACTGACCTACTCTACTAGAGAGTTAAGGCACCTTACTTTTTCTCGTTGGGCTATTTTGTCCTTGCGTACGTTGTTTTCCTCGTCCTGCGTAGTTTCCGTCGCTCAGGCACGCGTGAAATCGCACCAGGCCCTCGCGCGATTATTATCGAATGTAAACCGTTTGATATCTGACGAGGGGGAAATGATCGGGCGTGGTTAATTAAAAAACAATCTGGGAATCCTTTGCGATACAAAATTAATAAACTCTGTCGGTAATCAAATCTGCTTTGTAATTTCGTCGATAAAACCGCGTAATTAGTAATTAGTCCTCGTGACAAGTATCGAAGGAGACCAAGTGACACAAGTGGCCGAATCGGGTAACAAAAGTGACTTTTCGTTAAAGGAAGCGGTGAAACGATAAATTACAAAGCTCCTCGTTAAACTATCTCGGAAATACGACGAACTTGATCTAACTCGATTTAACCTAGTGCACGTGTATTACTACGTACTTTGATCCTTTCGAAATAAAATAAGTGGAACAGTCGATTAAATAATAACGATGTATCGCGAGTTCCATTTAATTACGCAAATCGTGGAAGAAGTTGAAAGTTGAAAGTAACAACACGATATGCGAAAGGCAAATGATTATGGTTCGTGGATACGTCGAACGAATTAGGTCAGCGTTGGATATGGGAACGTGTACGCGAATGTACGTGCACGCGCGCGCGCGCGTGTGTGTGTAGAAGCGCACGCGCATGTATGCGGGTGCGTGCTGTCGTACGTGTGTGTGTGCGTGCACTACCCGATGCGCACGCGTGACGTGTGTGCGTGCGCGAATGTTGAGCGCGCGCGCGCGCACGTGTATGTATGTGCGTGTGCGCGCGCGAGTTCGCAGAGGCGGGTGGGCGATTGGACGTGACGTGTGTACGTATATGTGCGTGTGTGCGTGCGCACGCGCGCGCAAAACATGTTTATATTCCTATTTGTCGAGAGCGCTTAAGCAAGGGCTGCGAAGAAATTTCTTTAACAAACAAATCGTCGATACACGGATGTGTTGTTAAGCAATTGCTTCTCCGTTGTGGCTAAACACCTCCATCTGGTGTTAATTTTAATTAAGTAAAATTTGTTGTACTCTTCCACGATACGTCTTTTATTTCGAAATTCACAAAGGAATGGTAAAAAGACAAAAAACCTGCTCTCTCAGTTGATATACGTATTTCAGATATAGGACGGGATTTATCATTTTTAGCTTCGCATCGTTTTACGTTGCATATAACTAGTAGGGGTAACCGTGTAACGAGGCATCTCTACGATACCACTGAGAGCCGACAGTAACGAGTTAGTCGTTAGTCCACGATAACAAAGCAACCCTATGTTTTTGTAACAACTAGGTAACCAACTTTCAAGCAGAAGTTAAAGGATCCATATCTGTGTTACGCACAATCCCCCACCACAACCTCCATCTCCTTTTGCTATTCTATCTACTGTTATTCACATTCCCGTTTTCTTTGCAAATCATATTCCGTTCATCTATACTACTCTGTCTCAATTTTCCACCAGAAAAATTCGCTACTTGCTGATTTCACTATTGATTTCGTTTATTCTGGTTCGAACTTGCTTCCTTCTGCGAGAAGGATCTCTAGAAATTTTGTTTTTCGTACCAACTTCGCCTACTTAATCGTCAAATAGATTAACGCGAGAGTGAATCACGATTAATTACGATAATCGATTTATATGCGTTTCAAGTAGACGTTTCGAATGTTTGATCGTGGGTGGTGGCCCCCAATCGTTGCAGCACACAACATTCTTAATGCCTTTCAAATTTGTCGTTGCTCAAAGTTAATTTAGCCTATGCACTACAGCGAATGAAAAAAATGTGGTTACCTGGAGAAGCTGATAATCCTAGGCAATAAGGGTTCCGTGATGCAGTGATACTGGCATAGTGCTCTCCGATACGACACTGGAACTCTATTCGATTCGTGAAGTGTCCTACCTCGGAAGGTTCGTCTCCTGGACTGCCACCGTTCAGAAACCTACATACACTCACACCTACTACCTGGTTGCTGGCACGCTATTGATCCTGGCCCAGACACCCGTCGGCCCACGCAGACGCTTAGCGTTGCCGCGTCGTTTTAGCAACATGACGTCATTCGATTCCCCAAACCCCGTACTACCACTGGGCTAGTATGCATCGTCCTTTTCTTCCCTCGGTTCATACGGTTACCACCACGAGCGCCACTAATTCTCGTCTAACATGTCCCACCTACCGTCCCGACTTGCATCTCTACTAGCAAATGTCGTGATTTTCAATATGACCGCATCGCAATTGACGTGTATACTCGTAGAATTATGCATACTATCTTAAACATGTTTTTATTGTATTTTCTTAAATGAATTTCTTGTTCATTTGAAGAATATACGTTATAATTCGATATATTCGTCATATTTTCATAAGAAAATTCTTTCGTTTAATTCGCTTAATTCGTTCATTTTCATGAGCCTCGAAACGATATCGAAATGTTCAAAAATTGAAATTATTTTTAATGATTGATCTTTTTTACCGACCAAATGCACATATTGATAACTTATCGTTATACCAAATACTTTGACTACCTGTCTCTCTTTTTTACCTATCATTTTACTATAATAACTTTTTGATAAAATATTTTAGTATTTTAAATATTTTAAATTACTAAAACTAATTGTATAAAGTTTTACTACTACAACCTTTATTAACAAAAAAAGCATAGATAATATTAGTACCTACATAATAAAACATTATGAAATTTTCTTTTCTATAAATTTGTACTATAGAAATAAATGTGTCGCGTCTAATTAAATTATATATTTTTATCATAGAACGATGTAATACGAATTACAAAGCTAACGTACTCTAAAATTTCAAACATATTTTGAATTCTAATAACATTCACTGCAATTTAGAATATGATTCAAGTAATTAACGATTACTAAAATGAAATAACAATTATATACAAGAGATCGATATTATAAAATCACAACAATTAAACACGGACACACACAAAGAAAAAACAATACATTTTTTGGTGTTTATTATTTTTTTCAATATATTTTCCTTTTTCCACTACTTCTTTTCACACAAATTATACATTCATTATGTTTACAATACTTCTCATGTTTTCATGCTTAAAAACTTAATTTGCTTCTACATTAAACTATGATGTAACTGGACTGCAAAATCCATTAGTAAAAGATATTAAATGTTAACAAATTTAATATGAATATAAACGGCTATATTATAATGAAAAAATTAGAAAATAATTAATTACACATAACTTTTTAATCCACCTATTTCTTTATTAAGATTCTGGGAATTCTGTCTTGAAAATCTTCGATTTCCGTCTCGCATTTTTTGTATATTATTTTTCATTATTAAAGGTTTTAATATAAATTCTTCCAATGTAATCTGTAAGAAAGACATAATATTGAATACGAAATATGGTTACAAAGTTTTAAAACATTTCTGAAATAACTTACACCTGTTTGAATAAGATTCCTGCGTTTAATTTCATCTATTAATGTATGTATGTGAGTAGCTTCTGGTACATTCTCCATATCTAATTTATTTTCCAGATTATATATCTGTAGCATAAGAATAAAGAGAAATTATAAGTTAAATTATAAGTATTACACAAAAATCTGTTCTATTAAATTTGCAACATTTTATATATTACAATTCAACATACCGCATCGGCAAAAATGGCTTGGTAATAAGAATTTTCATTCTCTAATACTCGTTTCAATATAGGAATTATTTGAATATATCTTCCTAATTGTACATATGTCATTATTTTAAGAGATCTGATACTTATTACTTGTTCCACTGGTCCTGAATTTATTATATTTAATGCCATTTCAGGTGAATTTTGTTTCAATGCTAGAGCTGCCATTATAGCACGACTTCTTGGTCCATGTATTGTATTTGTATTATAATGCCAATATTTTAATGCATACTGCATAGATTCTCGTGTATTCTGAATAAAATAATTATACATAAAAAATGTGAAATTACTTAATATGTATAGAGTTATTAATTAAAAATTAAAACTGTTACCTCTATCAGACATACAGCATATATTATAATAAAATTGCTTCCAATGAATGTTGAACCTTTTGTATTCAATACATGCTCAAATGTAGATTTTATTTCATCGAACATTTTATGTTTATACAATAAAGATATTAAAATACGATAAACTACACGATAATTATAAGTATCATCAAATTCAGGATCCATAAATGCTTTCAAAGCATATTTAGGTTGATCCAAATGATAGTACATTCTCATGAATGCTGGTCCAAATCTGTATGATCCAAAACCAGTAATTCGTTGGTTAGCAACATACTTTCGTAACATTTTATCCAGCAAATCCATATCTTGATCAGTAGCTTTTGCTAAATGTAACATTGCTTTCAAATCTTCTGAATATACAATTCCGTTTTCAGAATCACAAGTTTCCTGCATTTTCTCACGAAATGTGGACTCTATCTGCATAAACTGATTGCGAAACGTAAATCTTAAATTTTCGTAACTCGGTATACCTAAATCTTGTTCTGCATACATAAATCGAACCCCAACTATAAATAAAATAAATAAAACCAATTACAAAACTATAAAAATTTTAAGGTTATTTTCAAACTTATCATAAAGAATTAATATTCAAAAACATTTTTTCATTCTTAAACTTATTACATTTACTTGTATAAATTTAGGTTATGAGCATTACATACCATTTACAAAATTAGGTTTAAAAAGTTTTAAACAATTGTTTGTCAAAGAGACATTTAGTCTGCAAAATCTCCTTATACTTAGTGCCATTGCAATAAATGTTATATTTCTAATAAATTACAACTTTATGATAACGCAAGTAACGAAGTGGTACTTCCCTTTGCAGCGATGGAATTCTTATAACGGAAATAAGAGTACCAAATCCACATGCCTGCCAAATTCATATACGAATTAGTCAATAACACAATTAAAGAATAATGAATACTTTGTTATCGCAATTACAACATTCCATAACGTAATTAAAAAATTATTTAATATTTTTCACATCATTACTTTAAATTAAAATTAAATTCATAAGACATTATAATATTATGTAATATTTAAAAGAAAATGAAATTTTTTAATTATAACTCTAGTTAACGAACCATTTCCTTTATCATTGTACTAAATTTATTATAATACAATTAAATAACACAACTTTCATGAAAATATACCCTATTTCTAGATAGATCATTTTACTTTTTGTTTATAAATTAAGAGACCAAAAAAAATCAATTTTTATTATTACAAAACTTTTTACATTTCCTCAAATAAAGAATATTTTTTGTTATGTCTGATAAATAATAAACATTTACTGTATCGTATTACTTTAGAATATATATTTAGAAAATTAATGTAAGGAATAAATATTCATTTATTTATTCAATACTTATTTCTACTTTACATTGTATATTATTTTATTTTGCACTACTTTACATATTACTATTGTACTTAAAATTCATTTATAATTATTTATATCTAAAAAATTATACATTGATTACAGTTTTCAGTATCTATACATCCGCATTATGTTAATATTAATGCTTTACTTATTGATTTTAATTATACGGAAAATTATGTTAATTATTTAATTATATAAATGATTTTCATTTTACATTTATTCATCACAATAAAACTAACAAATATCTAATTGATACTCAATAAAATTACAATTATTTTAATGTACTCTCTCGTACACACAATTGCTTCTCGCTTCTTCTTTTCAATTGATATTTATTTGAAAGAACAACATTACGTAATGTTGAATGAAGAAATCTTTTATTAATAGACTCCTTTGGTTTAATCCATCCACTAGGACCCATTATTTCTGCTCTTTTTGCCCCAAGTTTTGCTTCTTCCAATAATGCTTCAACTGCAAGTCTAAAAAATATCTACTACATTAAACAAAATATAACAAGGAAACTTTGAAGTATAACAACTTCATAAATTTTAAATAATCATTACACAGTAACCATTATTACTTTTCATAGCATTTTATTATTTTAAAATTATTATATTATTTATATGAAATATATAAATAACAAAAATCAATTTTTATATTTTAGTATAAAACCATAAAATTTACCTGTTTAAAGTTTCATCATCCATTTTGTCAATGTTTAATTTTTGTAGTATTCGTATATAAAATACTGATATTTCCTTATTAACTTTTATCTTTCGTAATCAAAGAATTTGTTTATTAATAAATGATTTATTTATCACATGCAGTATAATGATTTTTAATAATCATTTTATTGAATATAAAAGAACAAAATGAATATTATGCAAATTATCTAAGTTAACAGGATAATTATATTTTACATACTTTCGAACTGACATAAACAGAGATATTAGTTAGAGTAAGGTTAACTTTATACCATGAGTAGAAACTAAGTTATATACGATTACGAACACTTGTATTTATTTGGTATTATGTATATTTAATTTTTAATTTTTAACAAAACACAAATTATTTAAATTCGAAACGATGAAATTGATATTATTTAAAATTTCTTAAACATCATTTGATAGTCACAAATGTTCTAGCATATTTTTTAATAATTTCTTAAATTTTATTCGTAAATAGTCTTAATAATCAAAAACAAAAATACATAAGCTTGAAAAATAATAAGTAATTGTATCATGATCTTATTTACAATTGAATTAAATCTAAATCTATATTTTCAGGGTATCAAATGAACTGAAATTAATGCAAAATTGCTATTAAATGTTCTATTTAACAATTCAGACATAATTTTATTTTTTAATAATGGAAGATCTAGAATTATATGAATTGAAAGAATTAAAAAAAAAATTAATTACAAAGGCATATAACTTAATTGAGAAATTAAAGAAGCAGGAAGATTATCAACAAACTGTTACATTGAAGTTGTATTATATTTGTACTTGTATTATATTTTAGTGTTTCCTGAATATTAACATTTATTACTTTTTACATTAGATTGACAAATACTACCAAAACTGTTAATACCTCAGAAGAAATATTTCTTGAACAGGATGAACATATATTATGTGAGATTTCTCGTCGAATCAGTGGAATAATTTTTGAAAATATAGATAAGAAATGGTTACATGACAATGTTTATAAATATACAGCTTATTTAAAAACAAAAGCTCTAAGTTTTTATATAGAGTTAATAATAAAATTGAAGGTAATAAAATAAAATAATGTTATGTTTACAAAAAGATAAGTTACATTAATATGCTATTTTTTGTATATTATTTTAGGATGAGGAAAAATTTGAAATTTGTGATATAACATGTCACTTCATAAATATTGATAAATGTTATATGATGGAGATTGAATTATGGGTTCAAATCATGACTAAAATGAAAAGCTTTGCATTTTTGACATCTGGTAATTTACAAATTTTATAATTTTTGTATATAACAAGAGCAAAATAAAAGCCTTGTTTTCATTTTTAGCGATTTCACAATATAATGACATGAGCACTGCCAGAAACAAAATATTAGAAATGTTAAAAGCTGAAAAGTATATAGACTATGAACAATGTACAGATGAGAATGGTGGAATTTTAATATACATACATTCAACCAAAAGAGTGAACCAAGTGTATTTAATAATTCAATGGTCATTAATGTTTTTGGAACAAACTTGGAAAATTGAAAATCATTTTATTATAGAATCTACAGAAATAGGTAACAAATGTAATTATAGTATTTCTTTTGTGTGATGCATCATATCTTTATAATATTTCTAGGAGTAAAATTTGCAGAAGAAAACAATTCCTTGTTAAAGAAATTTTGTAAATTAAACATCGCAAGGAAGAATTTTATTGATTTGTGGAATGAAATGCGTTTTGCTGTTGACCTATATGAAGAAAAAAGTTAATTAGGAATTAAATATGATATGGAATAATAAATTACTTTCCTAAAAACAAACTTTATATACTTTCTAAACATTTCATAATAATTATAAACTTTACTTAATAAACTGTCGTCGAATTGCATAGACATAATGAAGTATCTAATAGTACATGCAATAAATCAACAAATACTAATTTTAAATATATTTTCGCGTTATATTTCTACAATTTTTCTGTGCAGGTTATGTTCAAAAGCATGAAATTATTAAAACTATTACTTGTTACCATGTTATATTTTTCAAGTATTTATATCGAGGTATATATAATAAACAATATCCATTTCGATGAATATTTTTTATTCATCCCTACATAAACATAAATAAGAAAGTGGACAGTACAACTCCCCAGTGGCGCAATCGGTTAGCGCACGGTACTTATAAGACAGTAAATTTGTGAGCAATGCCGGGGTTGTGAGTTCGAGCCTCACCTGGGGAAATTTTTTTTTCTTAATATTTCTACATAAATATTTAAAACCCACAATACCCTAAACACATTTTGCATATGAACTTAAATATTACATTAATTGCTACATTAAACATGTATTAAAACAATAAAGTCACACAGTCGATGGTCTTCATTCAATTGCAAATAACATATATTACCCTTTACTAAGATTTTATTAACATAATATTAAACCAATTTAATGTTTTACTTTAAGTAACAATTTTATTCAAATGCATACAATGCTTATATACTAAATATATTATATAAATAAAATAACCGAAGTATATTAACTTGTAGTCTCTGTTCTTGATTCTATTTCTGGCTCTAACTTCTCATTCATTTCAGTTTCTTTAGCAATTTTTCGATTCCTCCATGCTTTCATATATGTTCTTGGATGTATAGGAAAGAAACCAGCAATTCCAAAAATTATGGCTATTGGTTTTGATACTGATACACCTTGACCCAACCAATATTGTATACGTTCGAAATTCAATGCAACTAATTTTTCATTATATTTGTTTGGCATAGGATCATAGGAACCTAGCTGTTCAATTGGAGGTTTATGCTGTCCTTGTTTAGTCTGAAATGAAATAGTGAACATTATATTTATAGATTTATATTAATAAACTTATTACAAATTTCTGTTATTGTAGTATTAAACACACAAATGTAAATGGTTATTAGCTTACCAACTAATGGTTTATCTATCTAATCATTTATCGAAAGATGTATTATTATACATTTCAAAATAAAACGTTGTAAAAATTCAAATTTTGCAAGAAAATACATTTATAATAGATACTAATAGAAATTAAGAAATCTTGACAAATTACATACTTATATAGATGAATGCATAGATATACAATAATACTTTACTTTAAAAAATTAATAGCATTAGAACAGTAATTAAAAATTATTTATGAAAACTTACATTCATAACAACAATATGAAAAAAAGGTCTATTGGCACATCCATAACGAACAAATCGTATTGTTTTATGCCATCGTGAAATATATCCAGTTCCAGATGAAGGGTGTAATGGTAATCGTGGCATTTTTTAAACGTTTGAATTATTCTAAATAGGTATACTTTCTTATAAGTTTAAAACACGTTACAGCCACACGATTATGATACTATCAACTTTTATAACGCTGTCATGAAAAAAACTTCAATTTTCATCAAAACTTTAGAGGTTATGTTCGATGTGATTAGGTAAATAACCTTTTAGGATACGAATTTTACGTTAATTCCTTCAAAATTATATGATATTATACTTAATAACTAATTATTGCCTTATTAATTAATGTAAACAACATTAGCATTTAAAATATAACTTGCGTAATTGAGGTTTTCTAGATATCATTTATTATTTTACTAAATTGATCAATAAAAGTTGATAAAATATAGTGATAAGAGTATAGTGTACATAGTTAAAATATAATATGTTAATCTCTTTAACCAGTTAATTAGAAAACATTACTAGTGTCTCATAATTAAAACAATTACGAGGAATGAAATACTTAGTATAGAGCGGAAAGTCTCATTCAAAAACAATGGATGAATTTTTTAGCGCCACCTAACTATATATCAGACAAAATGATTAATTTTATAAAAATGATATTTCGTATTTTAATAAATTTACATTAATTTTAAGTAATATATAATACCATTTTGCAGAAGAATTCAACTTGAATCATACAAAAAATTTGAATATTTATAAACAAATTTGAATTAATGTTATATATAGAAACTAGTTTGTTTACAATATTCGTATATAAAATATGAAATATAGAAAAAGAGCATAATTATACCATCAGTTGAATTTTATTAGGTCAGCGCATGTGCAACACGTGAATCTGTATAGTATCTTGTACCGTTCGCTATATGGAGTTCGGCTTTGGACTTCGGTTCGTGCAACCGAATGGTTTCGTTGTCAGTTTGACACGCACAGGCGTGTAGTTTGTTTCGGAGTTGTGAGGTGTTACAAGTTTTTCGATATTATTTCTTCTACAGTAATTTCTATTCAATTACTAAATTTATAATGCTTAATACATTTTGTTATTACAACTTATAATTTTGTGTACAACGAAATATAAAATTATTGATGTTTGCATATAGAATAACGTGGCCGTGGAAAACAAGTGAAAACTGCGAAAATAATAAAGATCATAAAATCGTTTCTTATTATATTCATTTGCCAATAATGGTAGTTGATGTTCGCGGAATGTACGAGACCGTTTTTTTCCGTACTTACTTAGTCTCCGGATTACACCTCGAAAGGGATTAATCTCGCGATTTAAACTGGAAGAGTAAATTGATTTGCTTGTGAACAGTTGCAAGATTTGACAACGAAGAATCATGGGGGATATACCGAGAGTGGAGTTCGCACTTGGAAGTGAAGTGTCACTAGAACACTTCTTCAAAAGTAGCTTCGCGCGTTCTTTCGTGACCAATTACCGTGACTCGAAATCACTGGATTACGAATTTCTCGACAACATCATCGCCGAGGAAGTAGAGACGAACGGTAGTAATAACAACAATTTCTTCTCCCTCGTGAACTTTGAAAGCAAAATAACGAACACCGTAGACAATAATATTTTTAACAAGGACAATGCAAACCTTTGGAAAACGAACGAGGTAAATACCACTTTTTATACTAATCAGATTGTTCATGAACATTTTGTTACAAAAAAACAAATTCATTTTTCTGAACATAGATAAACGTAGTTTATAATAAACATAAATTGTCGACTTTATATGTTTACACACACACACACACACACACACACACGCGCGCGCGCGCTGTAGCAATTATATATATAAATAGATATATTTTAGCATTATCTATTACAAAAATTGTTCTTTGTGTCGATTATTAATTACGAGTGCGTTGTGTCTATAATCACATAGATAATTTTAATTATAATTTAATTAAAATTATATATAAGCTAAATTATGTGAAAAACATATTTAAAAATTAATTTCTTTCTTATCTATGCGTGTGTATAATATTATATTTTTTGTTTTATAGTTTGTTCAATCCTCTGCTGACATTAATGAGTTGGAGAAGCTGAGAAAAGTAAGTTTATTTCATTGGTTGTATTTTTATAGAATATAATTTTATAAAATATTTTTATACATCTCGTTACGAAAAAAAAATCTTGAAAAAATTGTACAAAATTCTAAATAAATTTTTTACTTTTTTTTTACGTATTTACAAGGGATAGAATATTGAAAATGCTTTTCAGAAAACTTCTCTTTTCGTCTTCTTTTCCTATTACATTTTATTTGAAAAATCTATCCTTTCACGAATCCTGATTATTAGCAAAATTAGTGGTTTGTGAAATGTTTAATGAAAAATATCATATTTCGCGCGTCAGACTAACGATTACTTTCATTTTATATTTCTTACTATCAACATAATAATTAAATCGGAATTATTATTATTTAGAATTGTTTGCATATTTGTATGCTAAATTATTAATGAATATTTTAAAAAAGTATATTTATTTCTAATATATGCATTTTTACAATAATTACATAATGATATTTTCTTTGTAAACGAACCAGAATCTCGGTGGCTACGCATGCGCGGCCGATTACTTTCGTATTAACGTTGCAATTTGGCAGCACTGTAATCGGGTTTTTCTAACCTGGAGAGCAGCTTTTTGCTCGATACCGGTGTCGTTCCGTTTCGATTGTTTCTGCGAAACAATTCCAAAAGCGTGAATCGTTTTGCCGGCACGAAAATAGAGACTGCCTAACTGGAAACGATACTATGACGATACTGAAAATAAACCGACTCGCTAGCTGCCTGAATGTTTCGTGACCAACCGGTAGTCAGGTCAGTTCAGTTATTTTGACATTTTTGTTTTGCACCGTTGTTCCAATCTTCCGAGTGCCGTCGCTTTTAACCACCCGGATATTATCATCATAAGCTTATATAATCTTATAATATTTTAGATTTTATTGGAAGAAGTATTATTCGAGTACACAGAGCCGAGCCAGAAATATATACGTGCCTGCTGTTTTCGTGTCACTGTTGTTTTATGTATCAATGCTCTTCACTTTTTAATCGATGAGAATAACGAAAAATAATTAAGGTTATAAAAGTCGATCAGGGATTGTGAAAACAATGATTACTGTACTTAATGTACTTTCATTAGTTCATTAGTTTTGTTGAAAGTTTTCTTAAGAATTAGAAAATTCATATTTGTTAGGTTATAAATCTTCTCTTTGTGATTGAACGATATACCTAGTTTGACCAGTTCAATCCACAAAAATGGATGAAACTAGTTTAATAAATCCAATATCGCTAAGAACATGAGACTTCCGGTAGAGTTATAGGAATATAGCGATTAATATTAATTATGCCATTTTATCCGAACTTCGGAAAAGTATAAAACTACGATATAATTTCCGCGATTAATGAAAGTTTTAGCCCTGATAAATATCGATGAATTTCCGGTGATACATACGATATTCAACGTGTTCATTGAATTATAGTTTGTCGATAGCATATAATAATTTTCCACTACTTTTGTTCTAATTACGCACCAGTGTAATTAAAAAGTGGATGTTTTATGAAACAGGGAAAATAATGAATCATGAAACGCACTTTATCTAAGGTAAATTTCATCTTTCGTTTCATACGTTTATTATCGGTATTCGATACTTTTAATATATATATATATTATACACGTATAGTAGACCATGATTTCCATTTCCGTTTCCACATTATCTTTTCACTTCAATTTCAAAATGAAATTTGTACACGTTCTCTTAGAGACATTCAAATCGAATTACACCCTCATTCCATATTACAAGTGAAGCTTTTGCAATATCGACTGTATAACCTCTTAATCGATATATCTTGCTTCTTTCGTGGTTAGGTTCTTCTCCTAAAAGGCTCCTCAATTTTGACCAGCTGTTTTAATCAACTCAAATTTCAGTTTCCGATCATATGATGTATAGAATGTTGTTCCGGAAAGTGTAACTTAAGAATATGCAGTCAAGTTATAAGAGATTTCAAGGTCATGCCCATTCTTTCAAAACGATGCGCTCTTTTTTCATCTCCATTCTAGTATCAATTACACGGTTAAGTTTAATTAGCTACAACCTGCGTAATCTCCTACGATTTCGAGAAATTTTTATCATCGAAATTATTCAAGGCAATCGTGATAATCGTTTTAACGGGCCATTGATATACGACTATAGTTTGATTATATGTATGGCGATCTTTTAGAGTTACAATTATAGAAAGTTATAGCTGTAGAATACCATAGTTATATATAGTTCAATGGTCACGAGGAGCTAAGAGCCGCAGCTTTAGATAGACATGGCTAAATAGAAACGTGGTCACCCAGGATGTCATATTCACGGAAAGATATAGTTATCGAGGGCAATAGTTGCCGAAAATTATAGTAACGGGGAGTCGGTATTTTTACGTGACTCATAGTTATAGTCATTTAGGAACATGACTGCGCACCGTGTCTCTGACTAATTATATTTGCTGGAAGTCCTAATTTGCGAGGGTTATGGGTGTAGAGATACGGTCTTTATATTATAGTCTTTGAAAATCGCGGTTATGGACAATTATAGTTACGCAGAATATCGTATTCACGAGGAATTATAGTTACCGTGGCGTTATGATCCTATAAAATTGTACCTGATCAGCTACGCTGTACCCTATAGTCATAGATAGCTATACCTATGAAGGAACTTGGGCACAGAAAGTTCTAGGAATTCGAATCTTGCATTTCCAACTTATCATTGCGATCTCAGCTTCGAATCTTAGCTTCGAACGATTCGAAGCTCTCAGGATTATAAAATTTCGAAAATTTTGATAGCTTTTGGAGTCTTGGGACTTAATCTACTCTCTGGAAATGATGCCCAGTAAAAGAGAGAGGGACTCGAGTGTCGAAGAGATCGAAAAATGGATCGATGACTGAGGATCATGAGACAATGTATACATGTAAATACTGCAATGATTAGACCTTCTCGCATTCACGGGAATGAAGCTTTTACCAGTGTAATCGAACACGTTGAACATATAAGAAAGGCCTCTTCAATGTTTCTGAAGTCGACGATGTTAAAGCAACCAAGCAATTTGAGTATGATCAATATCAAACGCTATGTATAGAATTTAGATTGTATCAGATTAGCCAAAAAAATAATTCCATATCGTCGAATCTGGATTCGACAATTCCAACTTCTTTAATTCTCAATTTTCTATTCCAAGATCTCAAAAACTCACAGAATCATTCGAGATTTGTTCTAAATAGAATTAAACATTGGATGACACATCTCTATGCTTATAATTGATCTGCCCCAAGAATTTCCAATTATTCTAACTCTTCAGCTTTTCTTTTAAGTAACTCTCTGTGTACACTCGACTGTATATACTCGAATCTCTTCTTCTTTTATTCCCAATCTCTACCTGTACTCGACGTAACTCTAGACTCTCGAGATTCGCAAAAGTAAGGAGATTTTTGAGACTCTCCGAGAGTTTTCTGGCCTTCTAATCGGAATTAAAAGCGCCGATCGTGCGTTCATATGGCGATCGGTGATATGAACGCAGCCGGACGATAATCCCTGGAATTTTCCAGGAAAAATTTCGTCTTTTGTTCAGGCGGACACGTGTGCAGGCGCATTGGTCGTGGCAGCGTTGTTCATCGGGTAGGTTTTATTGAGCGGAAGTTCGCTCGAGCCCCTTCCGTAATTATCAGTCGAGATACCACTCGTTACCAGCTTTGTACGTTTGCCCACAGGTACGTCCACGTGAAACGTGTAAAGATTACGCGTGTATATACGTATTCAAGCAACGATGACCTGGACGCGTTGTTTCCTTTTTCTCTGACGTCATCATCCTGCTCTTTTTCGATGCCGTGACCACCAGGATGTAGACGTACACACGTACACACGTCGACCAAAATTACCCGTTCATTTCCTTTCCCGTCAAGTCTCCCTATTTTCTCTCTCCTTCTTTCTCTCTCTCTCTTCTTCCTTTTTTAACAGCCGCACAAAGGCTGCCCGATCGTTCGTCTCTCCTGTTCTCGGACGAAAAGTATCCTTGCTTTCGAAACGAACGACGCCAGGAAATGGTTCATCGTGTTCTAGAAAGTGTCTGGTAGATGTTCGAAGGTTAACCCTTCGCGATCCTACGTCGAATTGGACTTGACGTACTATCTCGTTCCGCTCCTTTCACTTTCAGTAAACCTAGTCTCTTCTTGCTGAAACTTATCTGGATAGAAGACATCCACGTAGACGAGTGGTTGCTTAGGAAAATGGTTGCGAAGGTGTAGTTGAGTCACGAGGAGTTCTCGAGAGGAAGTTATGGGTAGGACCTTATAGATTGATGAGCCAGTTCGGATAGAACGTCGAGCGTGAGTTGGACCGTAGAGAATCGATAGATGGAAGAGATCGGGGGTAATCTGTTTGGATTTGCCCTATTTTGTTGAAACGCGAGGTAGAGATTTACCCGGATTCTCTGCATCGACTTTCTTCGAGAAACGAAGATGGACGAAGAGGAACGATGACGGAATGTTTGGACGCGTTTGTAAATTTTCTGCCGGTGACTTCGAGCGCAAGGATGGACTGTGAAAGTTGCAAGGATCTCGTTGTTCGAGGTTGGAGTACTCGTAGAAAGTTCACATTTCCCAGGCAATATTCTCAACGGGTTCAAAGTGCAACGCACCTAATTTTTCTTTCCGGTCCAGATACTCTGTCGTTGTCTCTGCAGTTCTCGAACACGTGCTATCCTTCGTGAATTGGGGACGATAAATCTCGTGGACGATTTATCTTTATAAATCACTGCGACGTCCTCGTCATCCGTTGTCTCCGTGTTCTTGATTCCTACTTTTCAGTTTTACGAACGCGATATTATCAATTGTTATAACGTAACGTTATTCTTCATAGATGTACGTACTTTTAATAAGACACAGAACCTGTCGCAGTTCGTTCTCCGACGTTTAAATGGCAGCAATAATGGCATCGCTTGGGAGCCTGACCATCCTTCACTGGACTGTTAACGTAAGACCTAGCAGATTCTGTAAATTCTTAACTTTGCCAAGGATCGAC